ATTTCATTAAAAACATCATGTCAATAGCAAAGGCTTTTTAAAAAGACTTTTCCATCATGTGACAACAAGCCAAGAAAATTATAAGGAAATGTTCTACTTGTTCTTTATACAACCAAACACCACTACCTGCAGGAAGTAACCTAATGGGTACTCAAAGGAATGAAATCTTGCAGATGGATGTGTTCATTTTGTTGAATTTGAGAAACTAAAATATGTACACCTCACCATTGATACATATTCATGTTTTCAATGTGAAACTTCTTTGAGTCTGGAAAAGGCTAATTTGGTAATCACACATTTGCTAGAAGTTATGGCCATCATGGGTATTTTTATACAAATAAAGACAGATTATGGTCCAGGATATGTATCTAAGAAAATGAAATGAAACAGTTTTTTGCTTGTTATAATATAACGCATATTACCGGTATACCACACAATCCTACAGACCAGGCAATTATAGAAAGATCAAATTAAACTCTAAAGGATGTGTTAAATAAACAGAAAGAGATGATAAATACACCCAGAAATATATTGCATAATGCTTTATTAACTTTGAATTTTCTAAATGTTAATGAGAAAGGAACAACAGCTGCAGAGAGACATTGGATAGTAAAAAGAACTACACAATTAAATCAGCCAATATATTTTAAAGATGTCCTGACCTCACAATGGAAACCAGATCATGTGTTACATTTGCTTGCATAGAAGAAGAAAAAATATGGATGCCATCAAAACTGATAAAGATTCAATTTGAACAAGAGACACCTCTTAATTAGAAGAGATAATAGCTCATTAAGCACCATGGTCATTTAATCTAAACTAACCTATAAAACCAACAAATGGTTTTTATTTGATCAGCTATAACTTGCCAAAGGAAAATCATTCAAAATTAGGGTTGGGAAGGGTTTTGTTTCTTTCTTTTCAGGAGAATAAAGGTATGCAGATAAGTAATTTGAAGACTACTGGACAAATTAGACATCTAAAGAAAAAGAAAAAGTCCCAAGAAAAAGCATCAATTAATCTATTGATATGTCCTATTTCCAAAAGGATAAAATTTCATTAATCTTCCCAAATGTTTGTTTCTGCTGTTCTCTACAGAGTTACAATGAAAATGGTCTTTTTATAGTCCCAGTCCAGTTAAAGATTAAAGCTGACTTTGGAGTTGGAGTATGGTTCTCTTTCTCTAAACCCAAGCATGATTACTAAAGTAAAATCCAAAATTTCTGTCTCGTGTCAAAAGAGCCATGGGATATAGAACAAAAAAAAACAAATATGTAAGGACTATTTTATTGCCACTAATCTCATAATCCTTTGGTTTTATATTGATTCTTTAACAGCTTTTCTTAAAGTATAATATATATATTATATTATATATAATATATAAAAGTATATATATACTTTTGTCATGATACTAATGGTCATATAGAATATTAACTTATTCTAAAAGAAAGTTTCATCTACCTTCCTGTACATGATTTCAGGTTTGAGTCTGTAGAAGGTGACTGCTCATTCATTTTCTGGCTGCCCTGAACCAAATAATCACTATATTAATTACAACAGTGTTTGACCTATTAGCTCAGGATTCTTATTACTTACTTTTTAAATTAATCCATTTCTATTATTCTGCATATCTCCATGAGTCTGTTGCTTAGGGTAAGGTTCTGGCAAGGGTCTTTCTCCTTTGGCAGCCACACAGCATCTCCCTGATTCCGCCTACTCTCTCTCTATATATCTTCCAGGCTGAATATATTCTGCCCTGCTATAGACCAAATCAGCTTTATTAATCTGCCAATAAAAACAACACATATACAGAAGGACATCCCACATCATGAGTCTCTATCCATTTTCTGCAATGAACCATGAGCACACCTACCAACAATCTTTGAAGTCTCCAAAACGAGATGGTACACCACAATGATGATTTCTCCAAGACTATGATAACCCACTAAGCTGAAAAACACCACCTAAAGATCAGTTTTGGACTACAGCTGTTCAGAACTATTTCGAGGTAGCTAACTGAGATGATCCAGCCTAACAGACTACTCTAGTCAGGACTTGAAACAAGCCATGCACTTTCCCATTACACAGAGACTGGACAACAAATGATACAGCTACCTCTCCCAGGACTTGACAATTACCCCCAATTTTTCTTTTCAGGATCCCCTAAAGATACTGTTGCCCCCAAGAGCAGGAAGTAAATTTAAGAACACAAGTCCCACATTCCCAAGAGATGGGGTGAGTGATTTTTGGTCTTTTATTAGGTTATGGATATTTGTCATTGTTTAGGAGGGCTGATTACAAGTTGTTATTGATTATGATCAGGAAAAAGGTAAAAAAATAAAATGAGATTCAGGGTTCTTGTTTTGAAAAGTAAAAAGGGGATACAGTCATGAAAGGATAAAAGGGTAGATTATGTAATCTACTATGAGAAGAAAAAGGGAAGATATAGATATAAGATAAAAAAGGTAAATTACTGAATCTACTTTATTTTTAATTTGTATTGAGCTCTACATTTTTCTCTGCTCCCCTCCCTGCCTCTCCTCTCCCCCTTCAACCCTCCCCCAAAGTCCCCATGCTCCCAATTTACTCAGGAGATCTTGTCTTTTTCTACTTTCTACTTCCCATGTAGATTATATCTATGTAAGTCTCTCTTAGTGTCCACATTGTAGTCGAAGTTCTCTGGGATTATGGTTTGTAGGCTGTCTTTCTTTGCTTTATGTTTAAAACCCACATATGAGTGAATATATGTGATAATTGTCTTTTTGTGTCTGGGTTACTCACTCAAAATAATGTTTCCTAGCTCCATCCATTTTCCTGAAAATTTCAAGGTGACATTATTTTTTTCTGCTGTGTAGTACTCCATTGTGTAAATGTAACACATTTTCCTTATCCATTCTTGGGTCAAGGGGCATTTAGGTTGTTTCCAGGTTCTGACTATGACAAACAAAGCTGCTATGAGCATAGTTGAGCACATGTCCTTGTGACACTGCTGAGCATCCTTTGGATATATACCCCAAAGTGGAACTACTGGGTCTTGAGAAATGTTGTTTTCTAATTTTCTGAGAAATCGCCACACTGACATTCAAAGGGGTTGTACCAGCTCGCATTCCCACCAGCAATGCAGAACTTTTCCCCATAACCTCTCCAGCATAAGCTGTCATCAGTGTTTTTGATCTTAACCATCCTTACAGGTGTAAGATGGAATCTCAGAGTTGTTTTGATTTGCATTTCTCTGGTGACTAAGGATGTTGAACATTTCCTTAAGTATCTTTCAGTCATTTTAGATTCCTCTGTTGAGAGTTCTCTGTTTAGGTCTGTACTCCACTTTTTTTTAATTGGATTATGTGTTCTTTTAGTGACCAATTTCTTGAGCTCTTTGCATATTTTGGAGATCAGACCTCTGTCTGATGTAGGGTTAGTGAAGATCTTTTCCCATTCTGTAGGCTGTTGTTTTGTCTTGTTGATCATGTCCTTTGCTTTACAGAAGCTTTTCAGTTTCAGGAGGTCCCATTTATTAATTGTTTCTCTCAGTGTTTGTGCTGCTGGGGTTATATTTAAGAAGTGGTCTCCAGTGCCAATGCATTCAAGTGTATTTTCCACTTTTTTTCTATAAGGTTCAGTGTGTCTGGCTTTATGTTGAGGTCTTAGATCCATCTGGACTTGAGTTTTGTGCATCGCGATAGATATGGGTCTATTTTCATTCTTCTACATATTGATATCCAGCTATACCAGCACTGATTCAACCTTTAAAAAGCAACTAGTTTTAAATGTTTTAATTGTACATATACAATATAGACTTTGTATATTGCATACAAATTTTGTATATTGATACAAATTTGATGCTGATTTTGTTCAAACATACTGCACATGCATTTCTACTCTTATTCAAGGTTCAAGGCATTGTACCTATGCAATTCATTTAACAATGTAATGCAAATTTCTAGCTCTTGAAAATTACTATTACCAACTGTTTAGGATAATAAGGAAATGCAAGTTAGTTGTTAATTGCCTATTATCAAACTTGTAGTTACATTAAGTATGTTTTTAAAGTCAAATAAAGATATATTTTAGATATATCATCTTCAAACACTTCAGAGATCTACAGAATATGGCATTTAAAATGTTTTAATAAAATAAGTTCTTTTTATGACAATGAGACCTGTCTGCTCCTAGCAGCACCAATCTACTCTTTAGAGATGACAAAATAAGCATCAAGAAACTCCACATGGTGTTTACTTTCTGTGTGGCAAAAGTAAGCCACTGGGCAAGAAAAGGCCCTTGCCTTGACTGCTAACAGTATGCTGTTCTAACTGGACAAACAGGACACAAAAGAAAGTGACTGACAAACATTGTTAGGACAAGGAGGGACAGTCCTTCAGAATATCCTGCTTCTCAGAAAAGTCTGTCAGATGTGCTAGGCCTGTAGGCAGAAGATGGATGCTCCAATGTTGCAGAGGAATTTTTGGTGATTGTCTAAGCAGCCAGTTGTTTATGTCATTTCTTCACATTTTTTGGGAGCCACTTTCTTGAAATTCCTGCCTACTTAGGTAATATTATTTCCTTCTTGTGTCTCTGAGGGAGTTGAAGACTAGACAATTATAGTTACAGTTTTCCTTGTTTACCAGACATAGAACGCCAATTATGATAGAAAGTAAATTATGTACAAGACTTTGGACTCCAAGAAGATAGATAATGGAGTGTTTTCTCTGAATTTTTCAAATGCAAATTGACCGGACATTGTTGATGTACTTATTGCATGTATATATGGTATATAATTATTGTACTTATTGTATATAGTTTTCCTTATATTAGTTATAGCCTTTTTTATTTTAGACAAAAAGGGGAAATGTAATCATATTTCATTTATATTTTAATAAATAAAGCTTGCCTGAAGACCAGAATGCAAAACAGCCACACTAGTCAGCAATACAGGCCAGGCAGTGGTGGCATACACCTTTAATCCCAGCAGCCACACTAGTTAGCCATTGAGGCCAGAAGGTGGTGGTACATGCTTTTAATCCCAGCATTAGAGAGGAACATAAGGTGGGACGAGATAGGAATTCACTCTCTTTCAGTCTGAGGATTTCATAGAGGTAAAAGCTCTGTAGTAGCTTGGCTGCTTAGCTTTTCTGGTCTTCAGGTTGAACCCCAATATTTATCTCTGGGTTTTTATTATTTATGCTACACAGCCCCAGTTAAATGCTTTCTATAGTTTCTATGGTCATGTGTCTCTTCACAGCAATAGAGCATTTAGTAAGGCAGGCATCCCAGTGACCTGCCATTTACTCTAGAATATACCTCTCATGCCTGTTAAAGAAAACTGGAACCTCTAATTCCCATGAATATGGTTCTTGCAAAGGAAAAGAAAGGTGTATACTGTCTTAGACCTGAAAAATGTATTATTCAGCCTCCCACTGACAGAGGTGAGTCAACCCATCTTTGTTTTTAAATGGACAGGCCCAGAGGGAGATTACATCAGGCAACTTATCTGGACCGATTTTCCAAGGACTTAAAAACTCTCCAATCCTGTTTTATGAGATACTAATGTTACCCTCCTGCCCTTCTGTCAGAGGTTTCTACATTTACAATACGTAGATGACCTCCTCCTGGCCTCTAAAACTAAAATAAATTATAAAAGAATCACTGGGGGAACGTTGCAAGAGTCACAGACTCTGGGATACTTACAGAATGTTAGCTATAGAAGCCTTGAATTTTTTTCATCAGAGGCTACCTATCTTGGCTACCAACTGAGGGGAGGCAAAAATATTCTGTCTCAGAGCAGGATTGCTGCCACCCTTCGGATCCCAGCTGCAAAAACTAAGAGACAGGCTCAAGAATTCCTAAGTGCAGCCAGGTATTACTGCCTCTGGATACCAGAGTTTACAGAAATAGCAAGATCTCTATACACTAACACAAAGAGAGGTACTCTGTCCCTAATCAGGACTGAGACTAAAAAATGCTCTGAGTTTTGTTCCAGCTCTACCACTCCCCAACATCTCAAAAACCTTTCATCTGTTTTTCCATGAAACAAAATACATTATAAAGAGGTTTTAACCCAAACTCTGGGGCTATGGAAATGCACTGTGACATACCTGTCATTTGGCTCCCATAGCCATAGGATAGCCCACCTGTCTAAGAGTTGCAGTGACTGCTACTAGTCTAATAATAATTTTTTTAAAAAAAATTAACTCTGTGTCTGGATCTTACAGTCAAAGCAACTCATGATGTTAGACCCTCCTCTGAGAAACACCAGAACACTAGCTGTCTAATGCCTATGTAACCCAGTACCAGGCCCTACTCCTGGACCACCCTCAAGTCCTGCTTGAGAAAATCACCACCATCAATCCTGCTACCCTCTTGCCTGATAAGGACCTGCAAGTACTCACCCATGACTGTCAAAAGATGAAAGATAAAACCAGGTATTGTGGATGCTTCATCAGTTACTCCCTTTATTTTATTTCAGGCCCTCGGTACTCCATATAGGGATGGGTTTACCCCCATATGAGATTATGTTTGGAAAACCTTCCCAACTGCTTCCCCAGCTCAAAGACCAACAACTGACAACCATCCCTTTCTCAAATTACTACAGGTCCTTCAGTCCTCCATAAAGGACTATCAGAAAGACTCTTGTTTGAGATCAGTGATACCATCTGGATAAAGCAGGTACCCAAAGGGGCACTGGAACCATCCTGGATCTCCATTCCAACGGCCATGAATGTAGCTGGCATTATATCATAGATTCACTACACCTAGGTCAAGAGAGCAAAAGCCACAGACAATGCTGCCAAATGGACTGTCTCTGGACTGGAGTAGACCCATTAAAATTGAGGTTTCACAAGGCTCAAGGCCTCTGGGGTCATGCTGGGACTGAGGACAGAGAAAGACAGTTACTGAGGAGATGATACCCAGCATGACTACAGACCAGCAAATCATAATCCACCCTGGCCTTTGCTCACTGATGCCCACTTTAGGTGTTGGGTTGTATTGAAATAAGGAAAAATGTAGGATTTTTATCTTCTTAGATAGAAATACAGAGTTTGCAATTCTGTGCATGCCCTGCAGCTGGGCCCACTAGTTGCCAGGAGCAAAGGAATTTCCGTTGCAAAAATAGGAGTTTGAAACAGAAGCTTCCTGAATATGCATGAATGAACACAAATATATAGGAAGAAAGCCCCCTCCCAAGGAATATACAGTAGTAAAATGTAATCAAATGGCCATAAAATTATATGTCTGGAAATTACTTTAAAAAGGGAGCCCATCCGTGACACTACATGGACCCAGAGACTGGATATTCCAGAGACATTGGATAGGATAGAACCAAACATGCTGGGGCAAAAAGTCAATGAAATGGTTCCTTTTTTTGGCTCTTTTGCTTTAAGGTCTCACGCTCATTTGCTCATTTAGTCCCAGTCCAGCTGGCTTTGGTTAGCTCCCATTAGATCAGGCACATTGTCTCAGAGGGTGGACCAATCCCTCACAGTCCTGACTTCCTTGGACATATTCTCCCTCCTGCTCTTCAACTGGACCTTGGGAGCTCAATCCAGTGCTCTGATGTGGGTCTCTGTCTCTATCTCCATCTGATATTAGATGAAGGTTCTATCACCATAGATATGCAAGATAGTCATCAGTCTGACTACAGGACAAGATCAGTTCAGGCACCCTCTCCTCCCAGTGGAAACCTGGGAAGCCCTCTAGAGCCAAGCCTCTTGCCAACCCCGAAATGGCTCTCTTAAATAAGGTATCTTTTTCCATGCTCCCATATCTGGCCTTCCTCCATATCAACCATCCCATTCCTCCAAGATCTCCCCAACCCTCCCCTTCTCCTTTCTATCTCTCCATCTCTCCTTCCCCCGACTCAACCCCACCCACATGCACCCAACTTTTGCCTGGCAATCTTGTCTGCTTCCAATTTCCAGGAGGATCTATATGTGATTTTCTTTGGGTTCACCTTATAATTTAGCTTCTCTGGGATCACAAACTACAGCCTCAATGTCCTTTGTTTATGGATAAAATCCACTAATGAGTGAATATATACCATATTCATATTTTTGTGGTCTGGGTTATCTCACTCAGGATAGTGTTTTCTATTTCCATTCATTTACATGAAAAATTCAAGATGTCATTGTTTTTCACTGCTTAGTAGTACAAATAATGAGATTCCCAATCATACTACAAAAATATTTGTTCAACTATGTTCATAGGATCATTATTTGTAATATCCAGAACCTGGAAACAACCTAGATGCCCCTCAATGGAAGAATGGATAAAGAAAGTGTGGCACATATACACATTAGAGTACTACTCAGCAGTAAAAATTAATGACATCTTGAATTTTTCATGCAAATGGATGGAATTAGAAAACATCACCCTGAGTGAGGTAACCCAGACCCATAAAAACAAATATGGTATGTACTCACTCATAAGTGAATACTAATCATAAACAAAGGGCAACATGCCTATAATTCAGGATCCTAGAGAAACTAAGTAATAAGGTGAACCCAGAGAAAACATATATAGACCCACCTGGAAATTGGAATCAAACAAAAATTTGGGAACAGCGGGGGTGGGGAATAGAGGGGTGGAGAAGGGAGGTTGAGGAGAACTTTAGGGAATGGGATGATTGAGATGAAGAAAGGACAGATATGAGAGCAAGGAAAGAGATATCTTGATTGAGGGAGCGTGTGTGTCTGTGTGTGTGTGTGTGTGTGTGTGTGTGTGTGTGTGTGTGTGTGTGT